TTTTTTTTTTTTTCGTCCGGCCGGCGAACCGGCCGTGTCCAACAGGCCAAACCGGACGGCCATAATAGCGTCCGACCGGACAACCCCGAAGACGTGCGGTAATCAGGGCCGTACAGATCGGTCCGTGTCCGGACAGACCGGCCGTACCCAATTGGTGTCCGGCGGCGACGGCTGGATAGAAACCCGGTCCGTCTGATCCGACCGGCCGGACACCACTTTTTTTTTTTAATTTATTATTATTTTTTAATAATTATTAGAATTTATTTTGTTATAGACATTATTTTTAGGAATTAGAAATTGTTATGTTATAAATTTGAAATAATTATGTCATAAATTGGATGTTAGATACTATCGTTTTAGGAATTAGAAATTATTATGATATCAATTTGAAATAATTATGTTATTAATTGGACGTTAGATATTATCCTGTTAGGAGTTAGAAATTAATTAGATTTGTTTATCTATAAATTGAACGTTAGATATTATAGCGTTAGGAAATATAAATTATTATGTTGTACAATCGAAATAATTTGAGATATTATCGTGTTAGGAGTTAGAAATTATTATGTTATAAGTTGAACGTTAGATAATATCGCTTTAGGAATTAGAAATTATTATGTTATAGATTCGAAATAATTATGTTATAAATTGGACGTTAGATATTATCCTGTTAAGAGTTAGAAATTAATTAGATTTGTTTATCTATAAATTGGACGTTAGATATTATCGCGTTAGGAAGTAGAAATTAGTATGTTGTACAATCGAAATAATTATTTTATAAATTGGACTTTAGATACTATCGTGTTAGAAGTTAGAAATTATTATGTTATAAGTTGAACTTTAGATATTATCGCACTAGGAATTAGAAATTATTATGTTATTTAAAATAATTATGGACGTTAGATATTATCCTGTTAGGAGTTAGAAATTAATTAGATCTGTTTATCTATAAATTGGACGTTAGATATTATCGCGTTAGGAAATAAAAATTATTATGTTGTACAATCGAAATAATTATGTTATAAATTGACTTTAGATAATATTGTGTTATGAGTTAGAAATTCTTATGTTATGATTATAATTTAACATGTTTTGAATATAAATATTGTAATATATTGTAGGTGTAATTGGAAGATTTTTGTTACACCCAGATTCCTATTTACTATTTATGGAGCTCGACTATATTTCCATAAATATTAAGTTTTTAAATTTGATGCATTATTTATATTTATTTGCATTAAATTAAATAATTAGTATTATAGTCTAAGCTATGAAGAATTCATTCGATTTTAGTTATTAAAATCGAGATTTTATTTAAGCGTACCGAAGTCGGATAATTTGATTATTTCGAGCTCAATTAATTTTGAGAATCCAAGTAATTTTAGACGGCCCATTTTTAATTTGAGTAGTCGATTTAATTTCTAAGCCCAAGCGATAATTTAAATATAGAGCCCTCGTAGCATTTTAATTTTGGACCCAATATTTAATTTCGGCCAAAGTCGAAATTAGCACTACAAGCCGTCATATTTTTTTTTTAAGTAACCGACCAATTATATTCCTAAGTCAAGTCTAGTAATTATTCGGCCCAAGTCGAACTTATTTATCGAGCCCAATTCGAGTAACATTTCTAGCCCGACTTTAGTAATTGTTAGGCCCAATTTTTGGCCCGACAAAAACAAAACCCTAGTCTTCTCTCCCCTTCTATAAATAGGTTGTCTCCCAACAACCAACACAAACCCTAGCCACCATCATCTTCTCCCACCTTACACTCAAGCCATTTTTCAAGATCCAAAGCAAATATCATCACATTTTACCTTCATTTTTCAAGATCTTGTGCTAAAAACAACACCATGTCTTAGCTCAAGTAAAGATTTAGCTTCAAACACCAAAGAAAAACAAGCTTTCTTCTCCTTCCACATAGCTTGAAGCTTTTCCGGCGAGCTCTCTTAGTTTCTGACCAAACCGCCGCCGCCGGTCATCCCACGACCTCAGTCCGACCAAGTCCAACCCCAGCCTTCAGTCCAAAGCTCGGTCAGTAGTCCCACGACGCCCCTTCCGCGCGTAGCCCGAGCTCCACCTCCACAGCTTGCAGCCGCGAGTTTTCCGGCGAGCCAGAGCCACCGTCGTCCTCCCTTTACGGCGAACTCAACAATCATCTTCCTCAGCCCACGACCTTCAAGCCATTTCCAGCCCTAGCCCGCTCACAGGCCCGAAATCGCAAGCCCCGTCGAGATTGCTCCATTCTCCACGGACAGCAGCTCCTTCCCGCCGGCGAGCACCTCCCCTTCATGGCCAACTTCATTTTTCTGTCGTGTTCCCGTCCATAGTCGCCGCCACTTTCATTTTTCTGCAGAAACCAGCTCCTCCTCACCGGAAATAGCTAGATCCACGGCCAGCACCTAAAAAACTGAGCTCCACACCTGCAAATCACGACCAGCTGCTCCAGGACCGCGACCAGCTGCACCGGGACCTGACCAGCGGCATTTTCGGCCCATTTTCAGCTCCTCAGCCCGAGATCTACGGCCCACAGCCCTTGGTTTCGGCCGATTCGCTTCTTTGACTCTTGTTCTTAGCTTGATCTCTTGACCTGCCGTTTTCGCTCGATTTAAGGTATAATAACTAGAACTCGGTTTTGATGGCTTAGACATAATATTTGAAAATATATAAAGGCCTAACTTGGATTATTTGAGCGATTTTGAATTTACGGGACATTTACGAGCTTGTAGAGATTTTCGGGACCCTTTTAAATAATTGCGATAAAATATCGAAATAAAACCATTAAATTCGTTGCGTCGTTTTGAGGCCTAGGTTGAAATTTGAGAATTTTTGGACGTTGTTTGATAGGTAAACGAGTCGGTCAAAGGTGTTGACTGGTCGTAGTGATTTTTAGTTGACTAGTCTAGGGGTTGACTTTAGACTTGATTTGTTGACCGTGGACCATATATATATTGATGATGTTATGTTTCGATTTTCGTAAATTTTGGATGTCGTATGACTTAGTTATAAAAATTGGGACTTTAGACGTTAATGCGGTAAAAATAAAATATTAGTTTGATTGAGATTTTAGCTGCAGTTGTTGATTATAAATTCATTATAAATCATATAGAAAATATATATTAAATGTCAGCCTTAAATGAGTTAGGACTTTCGAGAATCAAAACCCTAGTTTTATCCGATTCCGGTAACCGGGTATTTTTTTGAATCCGAATATAATTGACTGAACCCTAGTATCGTTTGAACAATTTTTAAATGTCGTATTGTTAATTCTTAATGCGTATCATCATCCCACACACGTGCTCGACTCTCTTCCGACCGTTGGAGCCGAACCGCCTAGTGCGTGCCCGTGCACCGAGTCCAAATCAAACCACTGAGTGTGTTCCCGTGCACCGAGTCCATCCGAACTGCCGTCTACGCACCGTTCCGTTAGCCGTGTCCGAGCACGCCCCTGCGTCAGTGATCGTGGCACCGTTTCAAACCGTGCATCGGCTAAGCCGTTTCAATCGAGTTTGTGCCGGCCTGAGTTGCCACGCCGAACTCAGACCACGGTCAAACCGAGCTGCACATAGTCAAGCGAATGATCGACCGACTCCGAGTGAGCCGTCGGTCCAGTTCAGTCGAACCAGTCCGATCAGTCCGGACGGTTCGAGATAAATTCTAAATATTTTTCGGATAAATTTCAGATCCAGTCAGATTAAGATTTCAGATATAGTCAAGATTTCAGATTTAGTTAAGATTTCAGATATAGCCAAGATTTCAGATATAGTTAAGATTTCAGATATAGTCAAGATTTCAGATATAGTTAAGATTTAAGATATAGTCAAGGTTTCAGATATAGTTAAGATTTTAGATATATTTAAGATTCCAGATAAAGTTAAGATTCCTGATAGATTTAAATCCAGATATAGTTTAGATTTCAGTCAGATTAAATCAAGTCAGATCTTAGTTCCTGACTTAGAAATATTTCAGAGAACTCTAGAATGCCTCAAAGACGATAATATTTTCAAAATAAGCTCGTAAATCCGTAAATGATTTCTTAAAGCCGAGAGAGAGCGAACCTAGGTATATAAGATATTAAAGATTTGAGTTTTATTCTGAGCCCAGTACTTAGAATATTTTGCTCAATATATTTTGTAGCTTGAGGAGAGTCGAGCCTCCGTCAGCTACCCATTTCAGATATTTCAGCATTTGCATTCGCCAATTTCCAGGTGGGGACCATGTACTATGTATTTCATCACTTTTAATAATTTACCATGTCTGAGATCAATATGTGATTAAATTGAAGGACCGAGACGGATGAGTGATCCCGTCTTGGTCAAGATGTCAGATGTCAGTTATGACTTAGATGAGTGGGCGAGGCCCAGCCTAAGTCCAACATCCAGATGAGTGGGCGATGCCCAGCCTGGATTTCTGTGGGAGGGGACCCCCAGAGTGTGCACATGAGTGCCGGTTTACCGTTAGTCCCATAGTCAGACCAGTTTATTCATATATATGTTGATTTCATTGTTTGTTATTAATTGTACTGAGTATTCAGTGCCGATCCTGGCGGAGCACCGTTGATTCTTTTGTGCTCATGCCTCCCCACCACCCTATTCTACAGGTGATGGAGTCCCGCGTGGAGCGTGAGCCGGATGTGGTGGTGGTCATCAGTCAGGATA